TGCACATGCAGTTGGTTTAACAATTTAATCTCTGTAGTGGAACTCTGGGTGGAATCAATGTGGCTCACAACCAGAAATGTGCTGTAGAACTGCTTTAATAAAGATAAATCTTGACATTCCTCATTGTTCTTTTGTCATTTTTACTTATTTGAAGCTAGCCCTCTTTCTTTTTCTATTAGTAACATTAAGTCTTACTCCTGATTTGATTAAAACTCCACACTGTAATAATTAGAATTCAATCTTACTCACCACTTTTACAAACACCCAACAACTTAATGTCACATTGAAGAAAGATTCGTGCCCTTGCCAAACAGTTTCTGTGGCAGATCCATTGAAGGGTTCGGTTTCGATTGTGTGCCGTAAAGATGCAATAGACAGAAATGAGGAACAGATTTTGTATCACTGAAGAGTTTTCTTATTCAAGAAATTTGAAGAACAGAATTATTTAAGTTCCATTTAACATGAGACGTTGCACAATAAACTCCATCTCTGAGAACATACAGTAACAGTGATAAAATTTGACTGAAGAAAGAAAAATAAGGAACACAGGTCAACTATTGCACTAGGCAATATAGCCGTGATGGCAAGAAACTTCAAGTTCAATAACCACTTGAATAAAGTTACAAAGTCAACAAAAATGTCAACAAAATGTACAGACAGATTGACTGATTTAACGATTGTCACACTAGCACATTGAAAGTTATGAGAAAGAAAGAAGTAAGTAGAAAAAGAAATACAACCTTAATAATTTTTTAATCCTAAATTTCAGATTAACAAACTTATTACTATGTCGAGTCAACTAAAAAATGAAAAATAGGGAACAAAGGGTCTACTATTCCACAAGGCAATATAGCCGTGATTGCAAGAAAGTTAAAGTTCACTAATAACTTGAATAAAGTTATCAAGAACTAACAGTCAACAAAATGCACAGAGAGATTGACTGATTTGACGATTGTAACACTAGCAAATTGGACATAATGAGAAAGGAAAAAGTAATACAACGTTAAAACTAGTATAAGAAGGAAATCCTAAATTTCAGATTTACAAACTTATTACTTTTTCGATGTAACTAAAAAAAAAAGGTAAATAGGTAACGCAGGTCTACTATTGCACTAGGTAATTGCTGTGTCCGAGGGCCGGGGTGGACATTAACCGGGAGACATTACCCGGATAATGAGGGTGGGCTGGCAACAATTGGTCGGAGAGGGGCGGTAAGCGGGAGCGGCGAGAGGGGGCAGGGAAAGAAGAACCTAGGCAACCAGTCAGACAGCCAGGGCGGGAGCGGAGCGGGAGATGAAGCCGTCTACGAAAGAGTTGTTTTACCGTAAATTGGCTGAAATTTTAAGTACGAAGAACGAGCTTAACTCGGCATATTACAACGATGAACGCTACCAGCGTGTCATCCCTGCTTGGGGGCCAGGGGTATCAGCGGTCAGCGGTGCAACTGCAAGACAAAGTGCGGCCCTCTGTGCGGTTGCCGCCGCAAGGGGTTAATATGCAACAGCTCATGCCACAACGGCACATCATGCACCAACAAATCTGACTAAATTAACAAAAAGTGATTGAATACCCTCTGAGTAAATTAATAAAAAATGATTGAATACCCCTCCCATTTGTTGCCAGCCCACCCACTTCATCCGGGTAATGTTCCCCGGTTAATGTCCCTCGGACGACTTTAACCGCTCACTCCGGTTAGAGTAGGTCCTACCCGGGTAGAGTTGACTTTAACCGGGTAATGTCGACATTACCCGGTTAACGGGCTTTACCCGTAACAGATATATAACAACAGAAAATAAAAAGAAAAGGTAATCAAGGTACGCTTAAAACACAACATTTAGGGAATAAGCGGCTAGACATGCAAAGCTTTGACGTGCTTTTGCAAGTGCGTGTCTTGGGAGAAATCACTCCCACAGATTCTACACTCAAATGGCCTGTCATTCAAGTGTACGGAGGACACGTGTCTCTTGACGTCAGACGGGTAGTAGAAGGTTTTCCCACACCCTTCAATGGGGCATTGTTGGTCTGGAACAGACAAGCAGAGCAGGGGAGGGGCGTTACTTGACAGATTGATGGGTTTGGCATACTGAATTAAATAAAATTTTACTGAGTCAATATTAATCCACTTTTTGCGTGCTAAACTCAGAAGAGCGAAAATCGGGGGTAAAATTGTAAAATTCATAATTGTACGAAATAAAAATATGTGCAAAACTAGGGATTTGAGGGTCGGAATTTGTTCCGGAAATATTGGAAAAATTTCCGAAAAGTATGGAAATTTTTCCAACTCATATTTTTCCAGGAAAAGTTGGGAAAAATATAACTATGACTGACCGTAGGAATTTCATCAAAAAAATTTAATGTCGCGCAGATAGGAATATTTTTGCAATGAAAGATGTTACCTTTGATTAATTCAGCAACACTAGGTAATCAATAACAAAGAATTTCAGAAAGAACTTTATATTTACGGAAGAAGGTCATGTGTTGTGTCTAGCTCGCATGAAGGCTAACGAAACCTCGTTGTTCCTAACTTTTAGTTATGACCACTTTTCCATTTCCATCATTATTCGGAGCCACTTTGTAGGTTTACATACTTGCTAGTGGCGCAGAGGCCATGGTGCCTTTCGAGTGAGACAGAAGGTAAACCTGCAGCTCTGCCACTTCCTATCAGATACGACTACTTTGGTAAGGCAGGCAGGGCTAGGTCCGAGGGGTACACGACTTCGACCAATCCCAGATCACTTGAAAAAACAATCCCTTCACCAATCCCTCTACAATCTGTCCAATCAGTAGAATGTCATCACTTAATCATGCTCAAACATTCTTGAGTTACTATGTGGCGGTATCACACCACTACACTGTTAATATTATTTAACACTTAACAAATTATTTAGTTTTATTTAACTTTTTCTGTCACATTTAGACAGACAATTTACATTTCATCATGATTGATTTGGCATAGGTGGTGAGTGGCATTATGCAGTTCAGATTTGAACTTGGAAGCTGAGAGGGTATTGTCCGTGTTACAAGCATAGCAGTTGATGATGGCCACTGGCATGAGGTAAACCTACAGCGTAAGG